AACGGGGTCTTGAGTAGGGACACAGAGAAAAGAAGTCCTATCTGTGGCGGGAGGAAACTGGGTCTACTGCCTATGTCTTTCCAGTGTTCCAGAAAATCATCTCCTCAAACTCACTCCTGGGTTTAGACTTGACGTTCTTGTCAATGAGGTGGACTGAGGAGCAAATCCAGTCTCTCAACCTGAAATATCTTTCCTTGTTGATGTATGCCTAGGTAGATTTCATTTTCCAGCATTTGTATTCTTTTTAAATCCATTTAGAATGCTATTTTATAGAGTCAAACAGATGTGAACAGAGAACCTTGGATAGCACTGAGTTGACATAGCCCCTGTCTGCAGACAGTCATCCCTGGCTAAACCTTACTTTGAGTGGATTGTTTTTATACTTAAGTTCACAATCTCAGGCTTAATGAAACATCATTCCAATTGGACATTCATTTTCATAAGTATATGCTTTTAATGTTTAGATTTGATGGAACATACATGGAGAACATATCAGAAACTTTTAAATGTGTTAAAATCAGTACGAATGTCGAGAAACTTTTATTTATCATCAAGGCATGTCTGTTTGTGCTTTAAGTCAGACACAGTTCCCATTATCAGCGTGATCCCTCCTTGGTCTAGAGGTTGTAAAAAAGTTAAATTGTGGGCCAGCAAGTGGTGTGGTGGTTAAGGCACTGGATTCTCACATGACCTACCACAGTTTGAGTCCTGGACTCTACAGCTTGGGAATCACACCAGGCTTGTGTGCACAAGTGTGTGCCCCAAATCCCAAGTACAATGGAGGAGAAGGGAATATGGCCTGGACATCCTTCAGAGGGTGATTTCTCACTCTCCATCTCTCTGTCTCTCCCTGGCAAGTGCATGCATCTATGACTAAAGTCTTAAAAAAAAAAAAAAGGGAAATTTGGATGAGAAGAAACTAGGTCATGATGGCACGTGCTGGGAGCACTTGGCGGGGCTTGGCGAGGGTGAGTGAATTGAGCTCTTTCCTCTTCCAGATGAAGCAAGTCCCTTAAAAAGGAGAGCCTCAGGGTGAGTTTAGTCACAGTGACCACAGGTGAACTTATTTGAACAGCTGGGGGAAACGACATCCCCATCATACCAAGAGATTTTTTTTTTTTTCCTTTTAGTGATTTCAGTGGTTTGGTTTTTATTTCTGATTTCTTTGGAAACACTTGCAGCAACTACTATTTTTAACAAATACTATTTTCAAGGCTGATTATTTGTGTGTATGTGTATGCATAAGGAGTACCTTAAATTCTTTTCTTCATTTTTTTAAAAATTTCATACACTCTATTTGCAAAATGATTTACAATTCTATTTTTTCTGTTAATTTGGGATTATAAATACGGGAATATTATTCACCCAAATCCAGATAAGAGAAGAGGGGCACAGAGGGTTCAGGGTCTCATAAGCTGGCAGTAGGGCATTTCCTTTTCCAGATTTCCTCACCTCCTAGTTTGTCTGGGTCTCCTGTTTCCATGGTTACACCTTGTATGTCAATGGTTACACTCTGTATGGCAGCATAGGGAGATGTGAGAGACCATTTGAATTCCTTTTTCATCTCATTTTCCATATTGGTAAAGGATGGGTAAAGGCACACTGTCACCAACTCAGCAAGCTTTCTTGAGGGTGAGGCTTTGCCTTCAAATTGGAGTTCTGTGAAGGGAGTTCACACCTTGGTAGAGGGATTGTAATGTGCCCTTTTAAGTGATATCTTCTGGAGGGAGGAATGGAGAGATTCTATCTACAGCATAGCTTTAGGCAGAATAATGTTAACATTGAGTGTATATGGAAGAGACTGACATTCACTCAGTTATGCAAGAATCATCTACTTTTCCAGCTGCTTGTGAAGTAAAAATGCACTTCTGGGCTGAAGGACCAGGCTGGCCTCAATATTCTTATGAAGATGAGCTGAGTGAGGGCTACTTAACTTTCACATCTGTTAACTGATCTTGATTCCTTTTATATGTATGCGTTTTTCAAGGAGAAGGCGTGTTGCATGCACCTTGAACTCAGTATACTCTAAAGGAAGGACAGAGCCAGCTGGAAACTTCAGCTGCTGGAAAGGGCAGGGTGGGCACATTGGGAGGTTTAGCAGCCTACTCTAATCACACACTCCACTCTTCAGTCTGATTAGCATTCCAAAAAGAACAGTAAAATGTGCTTAGAGCTCAAAGGGATTTTTGGAGGGTGCTAACTGAGGCCATCCAGCTTAGTTAACATTTAAGAATAACTGAGAACAGAGAGGCCAAGGGATTCTTGAGGTCTGCAGAGCAAATCAGTAAGGGCAAGAAACTTGTGTTTGCTTGTTTGGTCTGGCTTGCCCTACGAATCCACAGCCTCCGTACTTACTGCAAATGTGTAGAAAATCCCTGTTTAGAGGACCGGAGTTTTCAGGAGGAATCTGGCTCAGCTCTGGTTACTAGGCCTATTACAAGTTATATGTCTTGAGTGGACCATAAATTTGCACTAAAAAGGCTCCCTTTCCTGTAAAATCCACACCTTATCCCTAACTGGCTGTAAAATTAATTCATATCCATCTCCTTTATCATTCAATTAAAATAACTAGCATTTCCATTGGACTCAGGGGCTGCTGGAAAAATGTGGATGGCAGAACTCAGAGAGGTGGGACTTCCTCTTCCAGTTGTCCTGGCTCTAGGGAAGGAATCTGAGAAGCAGCCTTAGTGGTTGGCTGATCATCTGCATCTGTACTAGTGACCTCTCCTGCTGTCCAGGCTTCTGCTGTATCCCAGGACAAGACATCCTTCCGCACATTGGAGTCTCTCAGTAAGAAATCACACACATTGTGTACTGGGGCTCTCCACACTGGAGTAGCAGTCAGATCATAGCACTTCCCTTTTCCTTGGGCTGGCATTCTCAGGTTCTATTTTAGTTTCAATGCTTGTGAACTCTCTCCTCCAATTTGTAATTAGTGGAGCTTTATCCTATGTCTCCTTGCTGAGTTTGTTTTCAGAGATTGTATTTTTTAAAAATCTAACTATAGAATCTTCCTGGAAAATGGAAAATGACAAAGGGGTTGAGCTTTATCACGGTGTGAGGTTCCCTGGGATTTTAATGGAGTCCTGAGGACCCTATTTTATTGAGTGCTGGCTAAATGGCTATGTTCTTAGCCAGGACAAAATGAATTGACTCAATCCCAGGCTATATAGCTCCATTATTAAGAGCCTCAAATGACATTTCTCTCTTGCTGAGCTGCCTGCATGACAATATAATCTTCAGCACTAGGTAGAGGGAATCACAGGGGTTCTTAGACAAGTAATGGACTTCCCTTCCCTCTTTCAGCCCACCTCCATGGATGCGTCAGGCTGGAGAGGCATTGAATGTTTTCACCATGGGCCTTGTTTCACCTCTCTGTATCATCCTAGGTCAGGGGATGGAGAAAAGACAGAATTAAGACACTTGCTCACCATACTTGATGGTTCACATGTGTTCCCATTTGGCCCTCTCGAAAGTACGACAGAGCAGGGATTATGGTTTTCAACACCAGATGAAGCTGTATGCTCACAGAGCAGACCATGCACAATTGAACACTACCATGAACTGCACTCCTGTACAGTCAGAAATGAATTAGCCAGTGCAAGATAGACCTTTTTGGAAAGGGGAATGCATTGTTATGTTGTATCATCTTTTTCATGTTTCTCAGGGTAAAGGGCTGACTCTCAGCACAACTTCTGCCTGCTGGAGCTGCAGATGGCCAGCCCCTCTGTCTCTCCCTCTACACCATCCCCAAGGCAGGCCAAAGTTCGACTCTCTACTTCCATTTTTGAACACACCTGAGTCTCTGGCATTGTACTCAGTCCTGTGCATCTCACTTCACTGAATCCCGAGGTAGCTGTTACCCACTGCCTTTTTTTTTTTTCCAGATGAGGACGCAGCAGCCCAGGGTGGTTGAGCATTATTGACAGATCACCTTGAAAGGGAAGCTGCAGCCTGGGATGGTTTGAGTCAGCTCAGCCAGCCCCCTGTCATCACTCTCATGGTCATTGTAAAACATAGCAAAACACAGACAGGTCCAGGGAAGAAAGCCAGACTCACCCAAAACCCCACAGCCCAGAAGTAGCAACTCTTCTTTGATGACAGTGCTTTGCTTTTCTAGATATTTTCTGTCATAGTCACATATGTATGTGCATGTGCATATGGAGCTTAATTTATAATTTGATGGTATTAAGCACATTCACACTATAGTTCCACCATCACCACTGTCCATCTCCATGGCATTCTCATCTTCCCAAAGTGGAACTCTGTTCCATGAAACACTAACTCAATTCCCCGCCTCCTCCAGCCCCTGACAACCACTACTCTGCTTTCTGTCTCTATGAATTTGACTACTCCAGGGGCCTCTTATGAGTGGAATCATACAGGCTTTGCCAATAACATATTTTTTTTTCTTTTTTTGGAGAGGTTTTTGCTATAGGGCGCGTGCACTCGCCAGACAGACAGAGAGAGACAGAGAGACAGAAAGTGAGAAATCACCCCCCAGGGGGGATGGCCACGCTGCAATCCCTTCTCCTCCATTCTCCTCTTGGGATCTTGGGCACGCACGCACATGTGCCCGGAGTGAGTTTAAGCCACCGGGTCCGGGACTCGAATCATGGTTGACCACATGGGAGTCCAGCGACATAGCCATTACGCTAACTGCTGGTCCCAATAGCATATTTTTTTAATAAAAACACTCAGATCTATAATTATGATTGTGTTGAAGATAAAAGCACAAAGAGCTATATGGTTGGTTGTGTAATACAAATTCTAATCTAGACTGAGGCATGTGAGGAAATACCATTTAATGGCACAGAGGGAGGGGTGAAGAGGCTCTGCCACAGGCTGGTCCAGGGGTGTCCCAGTTACAGAGCAGTGTGTGACAAAATGTCTTGGGGAAGGAGCTCAACACATCCAGGGGACAGAGTATGATGTTCTGACTTTAGGGCAGACATGCCTGGGAGCATCACTCAAGGACTCTACTTTTGTCTCTAACCTAGGGCAGCAGGATGCCATGGAAAGAGGTGGATGTGGAGATGCAGCTAAGGGGAAGAGGCAGCTCACATGGAGTTGACTGCATGCTTTGCTGGATTGAGAGCCACGGCTGGATCTGACCATGGTGAGGGCAGTGGGAGGCAGCCCTGAGAACATAGGACCATGGCCTATTGCTACTCCATCCAAAGTCTCTCACCCCAGAGGCATTATGGTACATGGAAAGAAGCTTGCTGCTGGTCCTGGTACAGAAATGAATGAGGAGTATCATGGACAAAGCAAAGACCTCTCTGTCATTCAAAGAGCTTCCCACAATGTGGTAAGTACATCACAGACATTATCATTTTCAGTTTTTACAACCACTTTAGATGAGGATGATAGTATATGTTGAGTATGACTTACTCAAAATGTGGGCTACCAGAAGTGTTTTGGATTTTGAATTTTTTTTATCAAAGTTTAGAATATTTGCATAAATATAATGAGATATATTGGGGATGCAACTCAGGTGTAAACAAGAAATGCTCTTATGTTTCATATACATCTTACATAGCATGAAGGTAAGTTTATAAAGTAGTTTTGAATTGCATAGGTTTGACTGTAACTAACCACATGAGGTCAGATGAGGCGTCATGTTGGTGCTCTAAATGTTTTGGATTTTGGAGAAATTCACATTTTGGATTTTTAAGTTAAGGGTGCCCAACTTGTATTACCATCCTTATTTTTCCAGTAAAAGTTGAGCCTGGGAACTTGAGTCCCCTGGCCCAAGTCTCTTATTCTATGAAGCCAGCTGGGTCTGGAAGCCAAGTTCAGCCTCTTATCTTGAGCCAGCGACCAGAGGGTTCAGAGGTCCTTTCTGGCATGTCTGAATTCAATTCTAAGTTAGAGGGCATTCTGGTAGTTTCTTTCTTTGTGAAAGATATTGTAATGCTGCAAATGTTTTTCAGGCAACCTGGAAAAGTGACCTATTTTTCTCTGCCTCATTTTCCATCAAAACCTACATAACAGGATGGAGGTCTCCCATGAAAATTGGCAGAGAAAAGAAAACTCCTCAGAGAGGTGAAATCATGAATTCAAAAGTGCTATTCGTTTTGAATTGCATAGGTTTGACTGTAACTAACCACATGAGGTCAGATGAGGCGTCATGTTGGTGCTCTAAATGTTTTGGATTTTGGAGAAATTCACATTTTGGATTTTTAAGTTAAGGGTGCCCAACTTGTATTACCATCCTTATTTTTCCAGTAAAAGTTGAGCCTGGGAACTTGAGTCCCCTGGCCCAAGTCTCTTATTCTATGAAGCCAGCTGGGTCTGGAAGCCAAGTTCAGCCTCTTATCTTGAGCCAGCGACCAGAGGGTTCAGAGGTCCTTTCTGGCATGTCTGAATTCAATTCTAAGTTAGAGGGCATTCTGGTAGTTTCTTTCTTTGTGAAAGATATTGTAATGCTGCAAATGTTTTTCAGGCAACCTGGAAAAGTGACCTATTTTTCTCTGCCTCATTTTCCATCAAAACCTACATAACAGGATGGAGGTCTCCCATGAAAATTGGCAGAGAAAAGAAAACTCCTCAGAGAGGTGAAATCATGAATTTCAAAAGTGCTATTTTTTTTTTTTTTTTTTTAACAAAGGGTAGACAAACTCACAGTGCACATTTAAAAAGGTTAAATTCTATATATGCAGGCTAATGTTTGTTTAACTACACTAAGTGAAAGATGATTTGGCTGAGGGACCAGGGAGAGACCTTTTATTTGATCTGATTTTACACAAACATTTCTGCACACAGCAAGGGTGAGAAGGTTCCAGAACCTTATCATAACCATCATTAGATGTCTGCTCAGGGGACTGTTCGTCTTCTTTCCAAATGTCATTTCTTAGAAGCTGACTTACAGGTCCATAGTGATAACCCAGAATTATTCCATATGGATGCAGTTAGCTGTGGACACAATACCTGGAGACGTGATTAGGGGCGGAATTTGACTACCAAATAAAAATTTGCTAATAGCAAAGATGTATATCAGAACTCTACAGTGGAGGAGTTATTTAGAGATTACTTATAATTAACTAATGAGAAAAGGAGCAGTGAGAAGGAGCTGTCTATCCTGCATGTTGCCTTTTGTGTAGGTGAGATACAAAGTCGTGTGAATAATTGTCCAGCTTCTAGTAGCTGAAGAGCAAGCAAGTAACTCTTGTGTTTATTCAGAGCTGAGACAAAATGGACATCTCTTCAAATAAAGCAAAACTCAACTCATCAGAGTTATCAATTAACTCTTTTTGTTTTTGTTTGCTTGTTGTATTTCAATTTAGAAGCAAAGACTACAACTTAAGGAAAATAGATCAAGCTACAGGCTGAACTAAGAAATCACATCAAGTTGTATCCCCAGGCTGGTTGTTTCTAGAAAAAACTCCTCCTCTACATCTAGTTTAAAAGTTGATAAGATTTATATTTGGAATGACAGTCCAAGGTATTGAGTAGTCTGAAATCATTAAAGGCATGTTGGAGTAGGCTCACTGACTAGTCTGTTTTGAGACAGGGAATAGAGAACGAGTTCATATTTTATACAGAGAACTTCACAAGTCAATGAGAATAATTCAGTAACACTTATTTAACCAAGGCTATATTGTTGTCCAGAATACTTGGCACTATTAACCTTATAAGAAATCAAAGTCTGTGAGACAAGGCAGAGCTTTGGTGCTTGGCATAGCTTTGGAAGCTCTTGAGGACATTTTCTTAGAATAAGAAAAGGAGGAAAAGGAGAAAAGATACAAAAATTAAGTGAATTCAAAGATCTTTGATGGGCAGCAGCCTACAGTTCTGTCACGATGCCTTTTAGATCCATCTTCTCTTCGGTAAAGCTCGAACACTTAAGAAGAATTGGTTTAGGGATATTTATTTTGCATTTCTAGATCTCTTTTTCAAATCTATTCCAGAAACAGATTACAGTAGTTAATATTGTTGGAGTGAGACATACATGGGTTAATTTTTTTTTAAGAGAGATATTTCTGCTATAGGGCATGTGTGCTTGTCAGAGAGACAGAGACAGAAAGTGAGAAATCAGACCCCTAGGGGGGATGGCCATGCCTCTATCCCTTCCCCTCTATTTTCCTCTTGGGGTTTTGGGCACATATGCACATGTGCCTGGTGTGAGTTTCAAGCCTCTGGGTCCAGGACTCAAAATGCAGTTGGTCCTGTGGGTGTCCAGAGACTTAACCCTTATGCATCTGCTGGTCCAACCTGGTTTAAAATTTTAATGACATCAACTGCTAGGTAGGCAACCATAGCTCGTCACCTAAACTAAACTTACCTCATTTCTGGAGTTGATGTGAGGACTAAATACAGTCATGGACTTTACATGATTAACTTGTCTCATGGGTACACCCACATTAGGTGCTAATTATTAGTTAGGAAAGAAATACAGAAAGTTGAATAGAATAAGAGAAATATGACTTGTCAAAGACTATGTTCATTGTACAGCAGCAATCTGCAACTCTTTTGGCAATAGGGACCAGTTTCATGAAAAACAATTTTCCATGAATGGGGAGTAGTTTGGGGATGATTTAGGTACGTCACATTTATTGTACATTTTATTTCTATTATTATTACATTGTAATATATAATGAAACAATTATACAACTCACTGTAATGCAGTACATGCAGCTGCTCCCAGTGTTAGCTAGCATCAGTGCCGCCATGTCAGTGGCACCTCAGATTATCACACATTTGATTTTTATAAGGAGTGAAGAGCCTATGATAGATCTGCCACATGTGCAGTTTACAATAGCATTTGTTCTCATGTGGGAATCTAATGACACCGCTGATCTGACAGGAGGTAGAGCTCTTGTTGTAATGTGAGCAATGGGGAGTGACTGTAAATACAGATGAAGCACCACTAGTTTACCCACTGTTCACATCCTACTATGTGGCCCAGTTCCAAATAGACCACAGTCTGCTACTGGTTTGTGGCTGAGAGATTGGAGATCCCTTTTCTACAGTAGGTATTCTCCTTTCTCTTAAGAGAAAAACTCAAATTTTATAGTTTAGCAGTTCTGCCTCAGCAAAGACATTTCTCAACCCTCTTTGTAGCTAGGTATGGCATGGGACTAAATCTGAACCAGTATATGACAAGGAAAGAAAGAAAACTCCCCTCTGCCTCTTCCTCCTGGCTGCTTTTTGAAAGGACTCACTGGCATTTAGGCAGCCATTTTTTAACCATGAGGTGGAAGGTTAACAATGGCAATGCAAGATGAATGAGCCTGCTATGGAACTGTGTCATCAAGGCTGGTCCCTCTGGGTATTTTTGTACCCAAATACATGTCATGTGGTATTAAAACAGCACAGACTGTTTTTGCAACAACCTGGAAGGACAAACTAAAGATGTTTTTGAAGGAAGCATGTTCAGAAATACCCTTAGACTGATTGACCAGTTGCAGGGAAGAAGCATGTTGGCAGGAGGAATCTTCAAACCAAGCTAAGGAGAATAAACTGACACTAACCAGTCCTTTCTTAAAGCAGGCTACACCCTTCACTCTCACAGGAAACCTCAAACCTACTCAAGAACAGGTTTTTGTGGAAAAAAAAACCACTCAATTCTCTCCATGGTCAGTTCAAGGGTGGTGGCTCAGGGCAGTCCTGTCTGCAAGGACTCATGATGGTTGCCCATTGATCTGTTCCTGGCTCACATTCTGTGAGTGATGATGCATGGTTGCCATGCACTTCCCTGTCCTGTCCTGCTGTTCCAGGTGTTTCCAAAGTTCACTCCTGAGAAACTAAGAGCTACCTTAGAGCAACATCAGGGCCATGGGTGGCAGTATGCACAATGTGGCAGTGGAGGGCTTGACTCTCAGTGAGAAGATTAAAGTGTCTGTGATTCTGTCAGGGTAGGCGCATTCAGAATGACAGGAAGACTGGATGGGCAGACACACTTTCCAGTTTTTTGCCTCAGGAGGTCAGTATAAAGGAGCTATCAGATCATTAGAGAATGCAGGGGCCAGCACGGTCAGGCCAGCAGGTGCTTAGTGGACTTGCTGCTAGTGAATGTTTCTCAGTCACTGAATCTCTAATGCCAAACTCGCTAAAGCTTTCGTTTCTATTTGCTTGTTTTTAAGCAAAAAATGAGAGTTCTTATGTCTCAGTGACTACTCATTCCATTGCCTTGCAGGGAGTACAGCGTGACTTTTGCTTTCCTGTTGCCACTTGTCAATCTTCTTTTTCTTCCTGTTTTGCAATTTTTGGCTGCTACACATGACCAGGAATGACTCATGGGGTGTCAGGACCCCCTCCTTCTCACCCTCCAGTCTAAATGTTTCCTCCAGCAACTCATATTTTTAT